CAAAGCACCCTGAGTCAACCACCTTTCACAACCTGGGCCACCTCCTGCCTGCTATTAAAAAACCAGCCAACAACTCTCCTGGAGTTTGCCACAAAAATCAGAATAAGCAGCCAATTCCTGTTCCCATGGCAACCATGTGTACTCAGTTGTTAGGATGGGGCTGGGGATGACTGGGGAAAGAGCCAAGCAGAGAGAAGGCGGCAGTAAGGTCTGACAGGCTCTGCTGGAAGTCTGCAAATTGGGTTGCCAGGGGCATGATAACCCTTTTAGGGGGTCCAATCTTATAAAAGTTGCCTGAGGACAGATTTTGGGCCAGGAGCTCACAAACCAGAGCAGAGCCTTTGTGAGCTTCACCTCCCAGCCCACAGCAGCTGAGAAATGGGGGCCATGGCCCTCTCTCCCCAAAAGATGGGCAGGCGGGACACAGCAGTCTGTTTCCACTCCTTTTCCTCTCTAATACAACACTGCCCTTCACCAAGCAGCCGCAAACACAAGCCACCTTGAAGCTGCTGCCCATCCCACTGATGGCTGCAGAGATCAGTGCAAGTGCTTCAGGCAAATAAATACCTCAGGCCACCCAAGTGTCCTCATGTCCTTCCACAATACTGAGGTGATGGTGCAGAAACATTCAGCATCACCCCAGTGCCCTGCCCAAGCCCCTGACCCTGGCGCAGCCACATTGCCAAACCAGCAGTTCTCCTAGGAAGTTGTATATTTCTCTCACTCGTGTTGCCAAACCCACCCCAAGCAAGCTTGCAGGACCAGCCCTACCCAGAGCCAGCAACCCACAGAAACCCAAGGCTGGAGCAGTACAGAAGCAAAGCAGCCTCCCCAGGGTGATGGGCTGTGGTCCAGCACAGACAGAAAAGCCACCAAGCCATAGCCAGGAGCTTTTTATTCCCATTATCTTCATATCAAGTGGGAGGAAGGAAGGAAAACAAGAGGCTGTGCCATACACCCATCACTGCTCACTTCCAACGGTGCCTGAGAAGCAGGATGAGAGGAACAGGGATGAGTATACCTGCAAAAGGGTCCTGGGAAGCTCACAGTAGCAAAGGGGTTTCCACAAATGGCAGTTTTACCCAAGCCTAAGCTTAGGAACTAGGTACAACATTAAATCCAAGCATAGGGAGAAATACAACCCTCATGGGAGTTTTTCCTTACGGAGCTACCCCTGAAAATAATGCAGGATGAAAACCATACCTTTTTTGCAGCAGCACCTTCTGCTGAAGGGGACCTCTTTCAGCTCAGTTTTCCTTTCTGCAACCACCTACCCCTACAAACCACTACCCCAAAGGGCAAGAAGCTGCTTCCCAAGCAGTAGGAGTCAAGCCCTTGGAGAAAGTGGGGAAAGATGAAGTGGCAGTGCAGCAGCTGCAGAGTGACAGGAAGAACAAGGCCCAGCTGGAAAGTATCTACACAGAGGATCAATCTGCCTGTTTCCATAAAGGGCCAGTAAAGAGTAAAGACCAGAGAGAAAGCCTCTATGAAAAGGGTAAGTTAAGTTACAGGCAGTGAAGGAAGTTTTCAGTGCCTTAAATAGTTGAGAAAAGGAGGTTTCTTTTAAACCATCCCCATGAGAAAAATGAGGATTTAACTCTGACAGGTGGTTGGGAGAAAAGATAGCAAATCCCCCAAAATCCCCTAGCAGGTCACTGAAACTCCATGCATGCTAAAATCACCGTAGGCACAAATGGATGTGATTCCATTTCAGTTCTCGAGGAATATACCCCATCTTACTCCTAGGAAAAGACTGAGGGTGGCAGAGCTGTGTCTGACTCCCTCCAGCTCCTCAAGCTATTTGAATTTGATTTCATATTTTTGGTTTTTTCTTTTTCTCTCAGCTGTAACTGCAACATCTTCTCCCTGAAGGTTCATCATCAGCCTCAGTGCTAATGAAAAAATGTGATAATGTTTGTCTCCTTCCTGGGGGTGGTGGGAGGCACAATCTAATTAAAGGTTTGCCAGCAGCTCGAGTGTTGCAGATGGATGGTTGTTTGGGAAGTGCAAAGTATTATTATTATTATTATGACGAATGTTAACACCAGGTTTCATAAACAGGCAACAGGAGGTAAAGCAGGTGGTAAAAGCAGAGGCAGGGCTTGTTCTGCTGCTACACCTTCATTTCAGCCTCACATAAAAGTGGCTGTGCGGGTGGCAGGGAGAGATCCTATCTCTGCCCCAGGAATGAGTGGCTCGTGGATGGGCTGTGCTGGCTCCTGATGAAGGGTTTGTCTTTCCAGCTGCAGGAAGAGCAGCTGCCAGGATCTTTGGCTGCTTTGGAGGTTTTGTCTGGGCTCCTTTGTAAGAGAAGGGCAGGATCAGCAGCTTCTTCCAGCCGTGGATGAGCAGGACACCTGAGTGACAAAATCAAACATCAGAATACAATTACACAAGAAAAAAAACATCCCTGAGACACCACCGAGGGATCCCACTCTTTTTAAAATCAGTGTGGATATGGATACAAGCACACTCGCAGCCCACTCCAGCTGCATGGCCAATGGGTTCAGTACAGAGACACTTTAACCCATTTATAGAATCATAGAATGGTTTAGGTGGAGAAAACCGCCAAGATCATCAAGTCCAAATATTATATGCTGAAAAACATGATCCAGAACAACTGTTTGATATTGATGTTGTATTAAAAGCAAGTCTCCATCTAGGACTGTCCTAAAGTATCCATCACTCAAGAAATTGTGAGGATGGCTTAAGCTGCACCTCTGTATAATAAACCATCTCTGTACCGCTGATCCAGACACCTTCATACCTTGTTTGGGTACCTAAACTATTTACAAACTGGTTTTAGTTGAAATTAAAATCATTAATTCTCATGCAGAAATGAATTCAAATTGTATTTCCTTCCTTAATCACAGGCTGGATCTCTCCTCCTTTCCTGACCTTCATACTTCAGAAAAGAATGTGCTCCAGAGCTGGAAAACAAATTAGTGAGTGCTTTGCTGACAGTCCTGGGATGTTTGTGGGAGCAGGGAGTTAATGAGGCAAGCAGAAACTATTCCAGACACCGGTGCTGTGGAGGAAAAAGGTGTTTTGTTGCCATACAGTGACAGGGGCCAAAGAAAGGAGGGGGGAAAGGAGAAAACAACTTGATTAAGAGCTGTGAAGAATTAAATAAACCTATCCCAATTCCAAAAGCAAAGAGTGCTTTTAAAACCAAAGTCAGCTTTCATTTGTGCCCTGTGCTTTCATTGTGCCCTGGAATGGAAAAAAACCTCTGGCTTTCGAGGGTGGGTAGGAGGAAGATGATTGCATCCAGCTTGGATCCGTTCCTAGTCCAACAGCAGCTGCTGCCCTCCCCTGGCTGTTTAACGCAAATAGTGATGCTTGGGCTGTTTCCTAAAAGAAAATAATTCACAAAAGACCAGAAATAACTCAGAGCATCACACAAGGCCTTTTTGCTCTTCAATTAACCCGTCCCTGTCCAGCAGCACTCCCATTAACTTGGTTTGTCCCCTTCCTCACAGTGGGTTGGGGGGCCTCTGCCATTAGCAGGTGGCATCTGCAGAATGGTTTGTGTCTCCCCACAGCAGCCAGAGGAATTTGTGATGTTTGGAAAAACTCTTCTGCCTTGGCTTAAAAAAAGATATCTACAAAATGCTCCTCGTGTTCAGTGGTTACAACTCATGAGACCCAGTCATGAGTTTAAGAGATGGATTTATGGAGATGCAGCTCTGCTGCTTCATTCTCATCATGCCCAGTCTGTTTGCACCTCCCAGCATCCAGCCCTGCAAAACAAACCAGCTTATAAGTGGATATACAGGAAACCTGGCATTCAAGGAAAACTACTCTTTATAGCATAGTTAGCAAGCAACAAAATTCAGGCTGCAGTCTCTATAGTCTGTGACAGGCTCTTTGTACAAAGGGAAAAGGGTTAAAGGACAAGCTTTGCCATCCCTTGGGCCTATGCAGTCATGAACATGAGCACAAAAATCTCTTGCAAAACCCCCCCCCCCACACAGATGGGAGAAGATCTCAGTGCAGAGTATCCTTCTGGCCCTGGGGTTTGAGACATGAACAATGGCAATTTACCTTGTGTTGGCGGTTTTTTTATTTATTTATACATATAGATGTACATATATAATTTTTTTAATTCCCATATTAGCATATTTTTGTTCTGTCTAGGAGACGACACTTCCAGTCACTTTTTGCAAGAAATTTTACTAGCACCCTGCTAGTAAAGGCAGCCTAAAACAATGTGCTTGTTTCATCTTGCTTTCCAAGCTGAGGGGGTTTATTTTCAATGGAAAACTGTGACATTTCATGAATCCCTGCTGCATGGCTATGTATTTTACAGTCTTTTAGGCTTTGCCAATCTGAGGGATGGATTTTTCTAAGCTATTATTACACACTCTACAATTTATCAGTCTTAAATTTAAGGATATCAGCTCAGTGAGGATTTTTTATTTCACATTTATTCACTCTCTCAGTCTTTAAGTGAACATGAAAATGATTAACAAAACCCCTCTTTAGTTCAAAGCTTCAGTAATAACATTTGTATTGTGTGCAATCAAGCCATGGTGTTGCAAAAATTGCCATAATCTCACATCCAACACTCTCTTACTTGTTCTTCTTGGGGTGATGCCTTTCTTCAGACGTTCATGACCTCAGCCTGGAGATTTCCCTGACTTCAATCACAGAAAGTCAAAGCCTTCAGGCTGTTGGAAAAGTCAGCTGGCCAAAGGATGCCCTCCATCCCTATGAGAGCATACAGGGGAGCCCACAGGATGAAGTAATCTTGTCATGCTGAATTTCCATGCTTTTTTTTTTTTTTTTTGCTGCTAAAAATCACTTCAAGCTGTGCCCATGTCTGAGCCAGAGATGTTTGGGTATGGATGGAGGGCAGCCACCCCTGTGTGCTCAGCCTTCCTCCCAGCAGCACCACGGGGGCACCTCTCACTCTTCCAAACAAAAATATTTCATTCTATTTGTTTCTTCAGGAAAAGGGACTGTTCATGTATTTGGAGCAGGAGTTTGTACCCTCTTCACTCTTCATCAGAGCCGTTCAAGAAGGCAGCTTGGGAGCTGCTGTCACACTTCTGCTGCCGGACCCCCAGGCTGATGTAGGGCTCTCCACTGCCTCTCCGGAGCCTCTGGAGACAGCTGCAGCACAGGAGCAATAAATCATTGCTAGAAAAAAACCCCAACCTAATGCCACTCACCAGAACCCTCATTCTAGAGGTCCTAAAATGCTATTGATGGGGGATTGAGTGTTTTTTGTCCTATATAAAGTCTATTTGATGGCATGGACTGAACTATCCATACTGTAGCTTGCACAGCATCGCTCAGAGCATCCCTTAAAGTGGGATAATCTTCTCATTCCCTTGGAAAAGCCAAGCTGGGGGCTGGTAATGTCTTCGTTTTTGTACCTCTAAGAATTCAGTGACCTTCAACTGCTCTGAAGTCCTTGCACAGCAGAGTATGAAGTGCCAGGGGGTCCTGCTAATGCTTTGATATCTCTGTCAAACGAAAGTTTGACTTCAGCACTCATTGCAGAGGAAAATAAGCAGTGTGACTTCCAGGAGCACCTCTAGGGACTCAGTTTTTGACTTCCTCCCATTTAATGTCCGTGCCTCTTGCTGACACTGTTTTGCATTCTGTGCACTCAACAAATACTGTGCCCTAAAACCTGCAGTATTCTGGGACTGTTTATTCAGCTGTGATTTTGTACTGCAGGAGGGGCTGGGTTACATCTGTCTCACTACAGACATCCCACCCTGCCTGCTACCCCAGACCTGCCCCTGTTCCTGTCCCAGCCCATCCCAGCCCCTGTCCCAGCCGTACCAGTAAGCGAGGGTGTAGTTCACAGCCAGGATGGCCACAGCAGCTGCCCAGTGCCAGAAGAAGCACATCATGAGGAACATGATGTTGCTGTGATCATTCTCATCCCACACAGGACCTCCCCATGGCTGGAACAGCACAACACCGATCTGGGTGGAACAAGAAGTTGGTGGAACAACTACACTGGGAAAAAAAATTATAGAATCCCCAAATGCCAGAATGGTTTGGGTTGGATGGGACCTTAAACAACCTGTGCCAGAGCTTCATCACCCTCACAGAGTTACCTTTTTTCATGTGGTGACCAAGGAACTTGAGCCCTGACCAGGATAGCGGTTTTTGCTGAGAGTGAAGTTCATCCTTGCAATGAGAGGCCACACAAAGTAAATCTGTGCTTAAGATATCTTTTTCTGTTCAATATCCAGACACAATTGTCCCTCAGCATTCCAAATTGCAAGCCGTCCTTTAGAAACTCCAGATTTTGTGTTTTACAAGCTCAGCCCAGTTTTTTACCTCTGAATAAAGGCTGGTTTGAGCTAGTACAGCCTTGAAAAAGAGAAGGGAAAGTGGTTTAGTTTTGGGGTGGTTATTTTGGTTCTTTTGTTGTTTGTTTATTTTTGGCTGGTTGGCTGGTTGGTTGGTTTGGTTTTGTTTCTTTTTTTGTTTGTTTGGGGTTTTTTTGGACAGCTTAGTTTTGAGAGCAATTATCTCCAACTGATTTCTTTGCTTTTCCAACTCCTACCAAAGCAAGCAGCTGGCTGTATTTTAACTCAGCTGTTTTATTGCTGGTGGGGTTTGTATCTTTTCACTAAACCAGAGGGAGGGCTGCAGGGAGCATTAGACACATTAAGCAATTAGAACTTGGTCATTAGGTACTGTAAAATGTTGCTCACTTGCTTTTGCTCTTCCCCCTGGAGAAGCATTGAGGCAAAACAAACAGCTCTTGCAGCAGGAGCAGCCATCAGAGATGACCTGTGATAAGTAAATTTTCATTCTGGGTTATGAGCTATTTATGAAGTGAGCCTGGCAAAATAATCCTTGGGAGATGTGTGATTGATACGTGATGTACAACTTGTTCCCCCCTTGTCCCTTTGCTTCATTGCTCTGGGACGGACCTGCCAGAACCACGTTCCCTGGACGATGGTGATGTGGGCTCGGAACATCTCCAGGACAATGTTGTCACGGAGGAAAACCTCCAGCAGGATGCTGCCAGCCCCAGCGAAGATGGTGATGAGCAGCAGGGAGTGGATGTGCTGATCCAACAAGGGGCGGTGAAGGACATGGTAATAGAAGAGACAACCTGCCAAAACACAAGCCTTGCTTAGAGCAGCATTACCAACAACAGCCACGTCCACCGAGCTGAGTAAATCACCTGCCTGGATGGCAAATTGAGACAGGCCATCATGGAAAGAGGGGACTCCATGCAGCACCATCCCCTAGGCCTCCTGGCATCCCAGCATCCTGGAAGGATGAGATGCCCAACTTGGAGCAGGAGGATCTGAGCAAGCACAGGGTAGTTTTCTTCCCACATCTGTGCCATCACCTCTTCAGATGACCCTTCCCTTCTAGCCAGGCTTCTGCTGTGTCCTTCTTTCTTATTGCTAGACTTCACCATTTTTTGGAAGCTGTAAATGATAGATTTCCTGGTCTTACATGCCAAACTGTGCATGTGGAGCTGCCCCTGCTGCTGCTGCCTCAAAAACTGCTGTGATTGGGAAAGGAAAAATAACAGGAGCTGTGCCTTCATTAAGGAGGGTTCTATATAAACAAGGCCTTCTTTTCCCATAGGAGAGTGTTGGGACTAGATGATCCTTAAGCTTCCTTCCCAGCCAAGTCTTTATATGATTCTGTGATCCAGAAGGGGTCTGGAATCCCAGCTGGCGATTTGCAAGGCAGCCTGAGGACAGAATGATATTTGTGATGTGCTGAAACTGAAATAAATCACTTAAAATTGCCACGTGCCATGCAAGAAGATGAGGCTAATGATGCCTGCAGTGCAATTAATGGCTCTTGGGGGAATATGGGGCAGGAGAACAGCCTGTGGATGGCAGAGGAATGCAGAGCTCACCAGCCATTTCTCATAACAAGGAACCTCATTCTGCTGCTTTGCACTGCAGTAGCCTCAGAAATCCCAAACCAGAACCTAACCGTGACTGTATTTCCCGTCTCATTCCATCCCAATCTGCCATAATACATCCCCTACAATGTGTCCTATCTCCAGAGGCATCTGGACCCATACCTCAGTCAGGCAAATTTTAGCACTTCTCTGACTTGGTCTCCAATATCCACCCCCAAATTAAGCACCACCTTCTACCAACCTTCAACGAACACGGCCACGGCCAACATGAGGCGATCCAGACCCTGCGGCACCACCTGGGAGATGTAGGTGAAGACATCTACCACCCCGGAGAGTCCATAGAAGAGGTACATGGTGGTGTGCTGCCAGTTCATCAGCTTCACCCAGTCGTGCTTCTCCCCGCTGTACAGGTACAAGTGGGGACCATCGGGGACAAACTGCTCCGCCAGCATCCCTGCAGGACACCCAAGAGCATGGAGTTTCTGGGGGTTTATTTGCAATGGTTGAGACTACCCCTTGCTGCGGGGGGTTCTGAAGCAGGAACTGGTGAGTTTGCATTAGAGAGAAAAGACTGGACGGAAAAATCAGGCCTGTGTTTATTGGCAGCTCAGCTTTGAGAAGGGGTATGAGACTTGCTTTTCCACATCAAACTGTACCAGAGATCAAGTCAAGATGGACATCAAGGATGCATCCAGGCTGCCCAGGGTAGTGCTGGAATCACCATAGTTGGAAGTATTCAAAAATATGTGGATATAGTGCTCAAGTTCATGGTTTAATGGTGCACGTGGCAATGGTTAGTGGTTGGACTTAGTGATCTAAGATGTCTTTTCCAGCCTTAAAGACTCTCTGATACTTCCACACCTGGACCAGTTTCTATGGAGTCAGGGCTCCTGTACAGTCATCAGTGAATACTGGCATAGCAAGTGAAATATATCCCTTACCTATTAGAGAAAAGAGGATTTTGATTCCCCCTTCAATGGCATCCACACGCTGGAAACAGTAAGCCCTGTGGGATTTTTTATTTACTTTCTGGCTGAGATACTGCAGTGGGTATTTCACAGACCACCAGAGGCCAAAGAGCAGGAAGAAGCTGCCTGGAAGTGCATGACCCTTAAAATTCGCCATCCTCTTCTGACTACAAGGCAAAGAAAAACAATGTAGTTATTCAATTTACACAAGTTATTTGGCATAACTCTGGGAAAAAAATAGGATTTCCCTTTCAGGGAGGATTGGAGCAGGCTTGACCAAGCACATGGGAATAGGAAGGAGCACTGGGAACCCCTGGGACGTCTCTGAGGTCCTTGCCCCAAGAGTAAAAAATGTCCAAAAAAGCCACAGTTGTTTCAAAAAACCCAAAATCTGCTGCAATGTCTGACATATCCCAGCCTGAACCTTTAATTCCAAGGATCTCTCTCAGCAGTAGGTCCTGCTTTTCTTGCTATTCTGAAAGTATTAACATAAGGGTCTGCTGCAGACCAGGTAGGACAGATAATACACAGGGAAAACAGGAATGTCTAGGAGTAAACAGCAGAGTGTTTCTTTAGCTCCATGAACAGCCACAGAAGTGGTGTGCAAAGTCCAAATTTTTTTAAAATCTCTGGAATTATTTCAGGCAGTGGAAGAGGTGAAAAAATCCTGCACTTATTCCACAAACCAAAGCATTTTGTTAAAAATATACCTTCAAAAATACCCCAAAAGCTGCTGGAAACAAAACATTGTGGGTTTGGGCAAACAAATCAAGTTGTCCCCTGCATCCTGACCTGCTCACACTCCTTTTTTCCTCTCCTGAGCATCCCTAAACCAGGACTTTCACCAAGCTGCTGGAGCCTCTGTGCCGGAGTGCACACACACATGGTTTGCAGGTTACTGGGGGACCCATTTCCTGGGAGAATTACAGCAATTAAACCCAGCCAGCTCCTGTTTGCTGTTTGCTTCATTAGGCTGAGAACCGATCAGCTCTTTCATGTGGGCACAATCATATGTTTGAGGGCTGCCTTGGTGAGAGGTGGTGTCAGACTGGGCAATTAGGAATGTTTTAATTCATAACAAGGCTGTGCTGCTGGTGCCCAGGGCTTCCTTCTCTGTTTAGTTACTTCTCTGTACCAATCCACACCTAACCATGGGCACAAACTGTCTCACTTGTGGAGTGGATGCTGACCCTCCACATAGCAGGAGTTGCATGGTTTGGAGCTGGATCTGACCTCCCCATCCCAGACATCCTGATTATCCTGAAACTGCCTTCCCCAGCAGCATTTTGGGCTTCTGTCCCCCCTTGCAGAAAATATAAACCAAAAATATTATTATTCTGCTGTTGCACAGGGGATAATTGTGTGGGGTTAAACATGAGTTGTGTTGCTCTCAGCTTTGGAGAAAGGGAGTTGTTTCTTTGGCTTTACTACTATCTGATTTCAGGCTGGTTTCTCCCAGGGACACCTTGTTTCATCCCTGGAAGTCCACGGCTGGTGCAGATACCATCTCCCAGAGGAGTCTGTCCCCAAGCAGGAAAATCCACAGGGTTAAAACTAATCTCTTAAACCCCTGCAACCAACGTGCCTGATGCAAGCTGGTTTAACCAAACAGCCAACCCAACAGCTCGAGCAAAGCAAACATAGGCTCCGTGTGCAAACACCACCCTGGCAGATGCAGCCACAAAGGGCAGCACACAGGGCTGGTATTCCTGCAGTGCCACCAGGCTGGTTTCCATCCTGTCTTCACCAAGCACCTCTGAGCTATCCCTGTGGGTTCATGAAGATGAATTTAGGGGGGATTTAATCCAAGAATGGAAAAGCTGTGCATGGAAAGGGCATGGTATGAGCTGGCAGCATTGCAGGTCACTATTAGCACTGCAGAGTTCTGCCTTATTTCGTGACTTAAAAGGAAAGATTTATTGACAAAGGGTGCCTTGGGTAATTAAACAGAAAATCAAACCAAGATGCTGTTTACCAGCAGGGCTAGCACAGTCCAGTGGGTTAATACAATCATTTCTGCAGTCCTTTGAAAGGGGCAATTGGGGAATGGGAGCATCCAACTGTTTCCCTGTGACTAAGGGAGCAGCATTCCCAAGCCATGGAGAGGGCTGGAAAAAAAATCTGCATTTTCTGGGTAAGTAGAGAATCTCACCATATACATGAAATGGGGGTAATGGCTTTAAACTGAAAGAGGGGAAATTTAGATCTGGTACAAGGAGGGATGATGAAATATTGGGGTAATAAATGGAAGCAGAACCAAACCCATCCCAGAATACCACAAGAAGGATTGCTGTCATATTCTCCTGTATTAATGCTACAATTATAACATGACCATAGCAATATACAGTCAAATATATAACTGATATAGCTCTTGCAGTTACATATTAAAGGCTGATATAAAGTGGGGCCTGATGATTTTCCAGCTGAGATTGATGCAGTCAAACTGGGATGACCTGAAGGATACACTGATCAATCACAATTAAAAGATCAGCTAAGTGGGGTATGCACAGCCACCTTACAGTGCTTATGTGATCTGGGCTGAGCTCAGGGGGTCATGGGGACTCTTTTGGGGTGGCTGGTCTCCATTCCTGCCTTACAGCAAGGAGCACATGGCTCAGCTGGGACATGTGACCAGCAAAACTATTTCTCCTGCTTCTCTTCCTCCTCTGAAAAACATGCAATAGCTAAGCACAGGGGAAAAAAACAGCCACAATTATGTTGTGCCCTGAGGCAAACAGCTCTTGTTTATCCCTGTAGCTCCAAAGGAAGTGAGACACAATCAGCAGAGAAAAGAACAAGTTGAAGGTCCAGTGGGTGCTGGTGTTGGTGGCCACAGCCACCATCCCAGGGCATCCCTGCTGAATGTGACTTTGTCCCTTCCCTTATCACCCAGCCATGTTTGGCAACACCCCCCTGTCCCTGCTGGCTGCTGGCTTGTCATTTGTGCTCTTTGCCCCCGGTTTATTATGGTACCCTACCCTGTGTCTGCTTAATGATTTACTGTTTCATCTGCTCTTATCACCTCCCAGAGAGGCTGGTTTTTCTTGGTTTATAGCTACTGCACCCAACCACCAGGGGAGGCATCTGGAGGATGGTAAGGAGTCTGAGAGCCCGATTAGGCTTTCACCTCCTTCCTCTCACACTACCCTGGCAGCCACAAACTCTCTTTTTAGCCACCTGGCTAAAACCTGGGCCATTTTACTATTCCAAATATCTCATTCGGTTTCCTGAAGGATGTTTTTGGTTTTGTTTTTTGTGGGTTTTTTGGTGTTTTTTTTTTTAAGTCCACTGATAGTGTCTCAGTCAAGGCATCACTTCCATTTTCCCCAGCTAGAAAATCACAGTCTAAAGGTCACCAGAGGGCAGAGCTGACAGCCATCACCCCTACAATTAACTTTGCCCTTCAACCTGTGTGAATCAGGCAGTTCAGACACACCAGAGCTGGTTTGCTCACTGTACCTGTGCTTGGCTCTCAGAGCATCTGTGGGTGACAGGGATGGTCCCCAGGGAAAGGCTGACTCAGGGAAGAGGAGAAATGTCTTGACTTGCGAAAAAACCACCCAAGTTGAGCTCAGGCTGAGGTGAGGAATGCACTGAGTTGTGTATCTGGAAATAATGAAGCTATTTCCAGCCTTCCAGAAGGGCTCTTGTGTTGAATCTGCAGTTGCAGCAACACATCAAACCCAGACCTACAGACTAACAGCAGCTGAGGTGCTGTGCTCAAAAAACCATCCTCAGTCAGCCCCTTCCCTGTCCTGCAAGTCCTCTGTGTGTCTCCCTGAATACAACATAACCCCACTGCCCAAACCTGACGGGGATGGCAGTGAGTGAGCTATCTCTGACAGAGGAGTGAGCTATCTCTGCCTCTGAGGACAGAGAGATGGCAGGAGACACCCAAAAGGTATCAGGAGAGGCATCACTGGCAGTGATAAGCTCTCCTGTACCCGGTGCTGCCTCACTCATTACCAGCACTGTCTTATTTGTCTGCCGAGGCACTGATAATCATAGCAGCAGTTCCATTAGCTCCCACAGGAGCTGGATCCCTAATGCATTAATGTCAGGCTAAAACCCCACTCTGAACCATTTCGTCTCATTATCGTCGGGCTCTCTTTTCCCTCTGTCTCTGTCCACACCAGGGAGTGTTAACAGTGACACTGAACAATCATCTTCCTCATACTGGCAAGCTCAGCTGCTGCTGCAAAAGCAGGAAAGCAACATTTCTGCCTCTAAAGGATCCTTAAGGCATTTGGACTTAGGTTAAAAAATTATCATGATCATTGAACACTATTAGGCTCAATTGCCAGGAAGTATCTGAAGGACCATCAGGTACAGCAGGAGCTTATGCAGTGGCTGCAGACAGAGAACACAAACTGAGATAATCCATCCTCCTGAAATGGGAAAGTTCAACATGAAAGTTCAAACAGGGATGAAAGCTTTAAATTCAGGATGCTGGACTAGAGGTCTATTTAACAGACATAATGGATCCATCTGGAAAGAGACACTGAGGGAGAGAGATACAAAAACTAGTGATGGAGAGGTTATACAGCTCTCTGCTCCTTCTTCCTTATGCTGCCTTCATTTGTCTCCTGTTTTATGAGCCCCTGGTCTGGATTCTCCACCCCTATCCTTGCTCTGAGCCCTGTCATCAGGGAAGCAGCAAGAAGCTACATCCCAGGAAAGAAAGCTGAGAAATGAAATAAATTAGTCAAAGCCTAATTACAGGGGCTCAGAACAGGCACTGTCATTCCTTTGTGACCTGCATTTGTTCATTTGTGGTTTTAAGACAGTGAGGTCTGACTTTAAAAAGTACCTGTTGGGGAAAATGCATTTTACCATCTCCAAAGCCATTTTTCTTTGCCTCTATGTGATGGTGAAGATATTAAAGTGCTTTCTAAAGGAGTGGATGCCATCTGTGCCCGGAACTGCCTCCCTTGCTCCATGATGTGCAATGGGGCAGCCCTCACTCCAACAACCCCTCACAGGTACCAACCCAAAATAAACTCAAAGCCAGCATTATCACCATCAAAAATGCCACAAAAATCGGTATTTATAGAATCCTGGAATCACAGAACAGTTTGGGTTGGGGGGAATTTCAAGATAATACAGTTCCACTCCCTGCCATGGACAGGGACACCTTCTACTAGATGAGGTTGCTGC